AATTTCAAAAAACTTTATTTTATACAGTGTTTGGCAAAAGTGACTTTTAAATTCTTATTAATTTTTGTAAAACTTCATAATTTTGATTCTATAATTTTTTGCATAGAGGTATTTATCGTTCATTCGTTTTCTGTTTCTATAACGTTATTGAAAAATAAAATGTTTTTTAAATTTTGAAAAAAAATTTTTTTCGAAGAATTTTTTGAAAGTGTCACTTATTCATTCAAATGGTAAATATTCGATATAGGAAAAAAATGTATTCCTTCAAAAAGTTGCTAGACCATCTAAGCAATTGGAATCCATGAAAAAAATTTCAAAAAACTTTATTTTATACAGTGTTTGGCAAAAGTGACTTTTAAATTCTTATTAATTTTTGTAAAACTTCATAATTTTGATTCTATAATTTTTTGCATAGAGGTATTTATCGTTCATTCGTTTTCTGTTTCTATAACGTTATTGAAAAATAAAATGTTTTTTAAATTTTGAAAAAAAAAATTTTTCAAAGAATTTTTTGAAAGTGTCACTTATTCATTCAAATGGTAAATATTCGATATAGGAAAAAAATGTATTCCTTCAAAAAGTTGCTAGACCATCTAAGCAATTGGAATCCATGAAAAAAATTTCAAAAAACTTTATTTTATACAGTGTTTGGCAAAAGTGACTTTTAAATTCTTATTAATTTTTGTAAAACTTCATAATTTTGATTCTATAATTTTTTGCATAGAGGTATTTATCGTTCATTCGTTTTCTGTTTCTATAACGTTATTGAAAAATAAAATGTTTTTTAAATTTTGAAAAAAAATTTTTTTCGAAGAATTTTTTGTGTCACTTATTCATTCAAATGGTAAATATTCGATATAGGAAAAAAATGTATTCCTTCAAAAAGTTGCTAGACCATCTAAGCAATTGGAATCCATGAAAAAAATTTCAAAAAACTTTATTTTATAGTGTTTGGCAAAAGTGACTTTTAAATTCTTATTAATTTTTGTAAAACTTCATAATTTTGATTCTATAATTTTTTGCATAGAGGTATTTATCGTTCATTCGTTTTCTGTTTCTATAACGTTATTGAAAAATAAAATGTTTTTTTAAATTTTGAAAAAAAAAATTTTTTTGAAAGTGTCACTTATTCATTCAAATGGTAAATATTCGATATAGGAAAAAAATGTATTCCTTCAAAAAGTTGCTAGACCATCTAAGCAATTGGAATCCATGAAAAAAAATTCAAAAAACTTTATTTTATACAGTGTTTGGCAAAAGTGACTTTTAAATTCTTATTAATTTTTGTAAAACTTCATAATTTTGATTCTATAATTTTTTGCATAGAGGTATTTATCGTTCATTCGTTTTCTGTTTCTATAACGTTATTGAAAAATAAAATGTTTTTTAAATTTTGAAAAAAAATTTTTTTCGAAGAATTTTTTGAAAGTGTCACTTATTCATTCAAATGGTAAATATTCGATATAGGAAAAAAATGTATTCTTTCAAAAAGTTGCCAGACCATCTAAGCAATTGAAATCCATGAAAAAAAATTCAAAAAACTTTATTTTATACAGTGTTTGGCAAAAGTGACTTAAATTCTTATTAATTTTTGTAAAACTTCATAATTTTGATTCTATAATTTTTTGCATAGAGGTATTTATCGTTCATTCGTTTTCTGTTTCTATAACGTTATTGAAAAATAAAATGTTTTTTAAATTTTGAAAAAAAAAATTTTTCAAAGAATTTTTTGAAAGTGTCACTTATTCATTCAAATGGTAAATATTCGATATAGGAAAAAAATGTATTCTTTCAAAAAGTTGCCAGACCATCTAAGCAATTGGAATCCATGAAAAAAATTTCAAAAAACTTTATTTTATACAGTGTTTGGCAAAAGTGACTTTTAAATTCTTATTAATTTTTGTAAAACTTCATAATTTTGATTCTATAATTTTTTGCATAGAGGTATTTATCGTTCATTCGTTTTCTGTTTCTATAACGTTATTGAAAAATAAAATGTTTTTTAAATTTTGAAAAAAAAATTTTTTCGAAGAATTTTTTGAAAGTGTCACTTATTCATTCAAATGGTAAATATTCGATATAGGAAAAAAATGTATTCCTTCAAAAAGTTGCTAGACCATCTAAGCAATTGGAATCCATGAAAAAAATTTCAAAAAACTTTATTTTATACAGTGTTTGGCAAAAGTGACTTTTAAATTCTTATTAATTTTTGTAAAACTTCATAATTTTGATTCTATAATTTTTTGCATAGAGGTATTTATCGTTCATTCGTTTTCTGTTTCTATAACGTTATTGAAAAATAAAATGTTTTTTAAATTTTGAAAAAAAAAATTTTTCGAAGAATTTTTTGAAAGTGTCACTTATTCATTCAAATGGTAAATATTCGATATAGGAAAAAAATGTATTCTTTCAAAAAGTTGCCAGACCATCTAAGCAATTGGAATCCATGAAAAAAATTTCAAAAAACTTTATTTTATACAGTGTTTGGCAAAAGTGACTTTTAAATTCTTATTAATTTTTGTAAAACTTCATAATTTTGATTCTATAATTTTTTGCATAGAGGTATTTATCGTTCATTCGTTTTCTGTTTCTATAACGGTATTGAAAAATAAAATGTTTTTTAAATTTTGAAAAAAAATTTTTTTCGAAGAATTTTTTGTGTCACTTATTCATTCAAATGGTAAATATTCGATATAGGAAAAAAATGTATTCTTTCAAAAAGTTGCCAGACCATCTAAGCAATTGGAATCCATGAAAAAAATTTCAAAAAACTTTATTTTATACAGTGTTTGGCAAAAGTGACTTTTAAATTCTTATTAATTTTTGTAAAACTTCATAATTTTGATTCTATAATTTTTTGCATAGAGGTATTTATCGTTCATTCGTTTTCTGTTTCTATAACGTTATTGAAAAATAAAATGTTTTTTAAATTTTGAAAAAAAATTTTTTTCGAAGAATTTTTTGAAAGTGTCACTTATTCATTCAAATGGTAAATATTCGATATAGGAAAAAAATGTATTCCTTCAAAAAGTTGCTAGACCATCTAAGCAATTGGAATCCATGAAAAAAATTTCAAAAAACTTTATTTTATACAGTGTTTGGCAAAAGTGACTTTTAAATTCTTATTAATTTTTGTAAAACTTCATAATTTTGATTCTATAATTTTTTGCATAGAGGTATTTATCGTTCATTCGTTTTCTGTTTCTATAACGTTATTGAAAAATAAAATGTTTTTTAAATTTTGAAAAAAAAAATTTTTCGAAGAATTTTTTGAAAGTGTCACTTATTCATTCAAATGGTAAATATTCGATATAGGAAAAAAATGTATTCTTTCAAAAAGTTGCCAGACCATCTAAGCAATTGGAATCCATGAAAAAAATTTCAAAAAACTTTATTTTATACAGTGTTTGGCAAAAGTGACTTTTAAATTCTTATTAATTTTTGTAAAACTTCATAATTTTGATTCTATAATTTTTTGCATAGAGCTATTTATCGTTCATTCGTTTTCTGTTTCTATAACGTTATTGTAAAATAAAATGTTTTTTAAATTTTGAAAAAAAAAAATTTTTCGAAGAATTTTTTGAAAGTGTCACTTATTCATTCAAATGGTAAATATTCGATATAGGAAAAAATTGTATTCTTTCAAAAAGTTGCCAGACCATCTAAGCAATTGGAATCTACGAAAACAATGTAAAAATAGGTTACTATTTCACTGTTGGTGCAAAACAGCTTTAATCAAAGGGTGTTTTAAATAAGTTAAAAGCAGCCATAGTTTTAAAAATTATTATAATTAAACAGCTCAACAGCAATTAAAACTCAAAATTTTATAGAAAAATATATATATTTGCCAAGTTTAATGATATTGTAACAAAGAGGTATCAGAACATAACTCTGATGTTTAATCGATTGTTTTTAAACTGAAGAAGATACTCTACTGTAATATAAAATAATTCTAAAGATTGCACAAATAACACATAATGAAATAAATGATTGAATGTGACCACTACATTTGTTATAGTTGCTGTCAAAACATTAAATCTACACTCCAGATCAGTATAAGTAAAGTTCTGCCTTAATTTCATTAAAGTTTAAAATTTCTTCTGCTCTCCTCTCTCATTTTAAACGAATAATTTTTAGCCGAGTATAATAGAACTTCCACATAAAAAAAATATTTTTCTTCAAGTGGATCAAAATATGCTATTGTTCTAATGGGCACAACAATAAAGTTCACCTTCTACTATACTATAACAACAATATCACAGATAACTTTTATAATGTATATGTCACCCTTGCTTCTCTTGTAGATGGACCAGGCATTGGTTCTCTTGTACTTCTAGAAAGAGCAGGCATTAGTTCAACTTGTGAATAATATTAACTTACATTTACTTTCAAAATCAGGCCAGACGGAATGAATCCGGCTTTGAAAAGGTTAGAGGTTAATTTTCTTCAAATCGGTGGAAAATAAGTAATTTCCTCAATAGAATATCATGTAAAGGTCATCAACTTGCCGTATATATGCTTTAAATGTGCCAGTTAATTAAGTTATACTTCAAAAACTATGCTTTGAATAAGTTGGGTTAAAATTCCTTAAATTTTGGACAAACAACCTAAAAAAAATATATGAAACAGATGTAATAACATATAAAGTAAAGGTTATCACCTTACGGTCAGAAGCTTTAAATATGTTAAATAATTAAATAGTTTCCAATTTCCAAATCACACTTTATAGTTTTATTTATGTAAATAAATGTTCCTCTTTTATCATCCTATGGCAGGGCTGCCAGATTCAGTACTTTTGTACTGAATTCAGTACTTTTTCAACTTTTTCAGTACGTCAGTGTTACGTTTTTAGTTTTAGTACGTTTTCGTTGAAATTTGTCAATTCAGTACAATTTTCAGTACTATTAAGTATTAAAAAAAAAAGAAGATAAATGACATATTTCATTAGTGGTTGACACTGTAGACAGTTATTTTACAACTAATTACTAATTTTTTAAATTTGTTGTAAGTTTATTGGATGCAATTTTCGGAATTTGGAGAGGAAAATGGATAAGTAATAAGTTTTCTTTGCAGATTAAATAATGTTTATAAATATGATTGTTTTAATTTTGAAGGTTTCTTATTCATCAAATTAAAGATTCCCAAGAGGAAAATCAAATAAATATTGATTTTAATGCTGAAAATATTGAGGTTGAGATAGATTCTCAATTTGAAGATGATGAGGAGGAGGAGGAGGATGGTGATAACACTGAGAACCATCAAATAGTGCATAAGAAAAGAAAACTCTATAAGGCTAAATTTAATTGCAAATGGCAAGAATCGTTTTCTTGGATCCGGTCAAACAATGGTGTAGCTCACTGTAAGATTTGTAAAAGAAATATTTCCGGTGGCATAGTTCACTTAAAGAGGCATGAAAAAACAAAGCGACATTTATCCAAAGTAAAAATAGCTCAGTCAACCCCACAATTGATGAATTTTCTCTCCTCGGAATCCAAACCAACAATATCTGTAGACACAAAAAGAGCAGAATTAAAAATGATTATGTTCTTGGCAGAACATAATCTACCATTTTTAATCATGGACCATCTTCCAAAATGTATGGCATCTGCAGGACATGATTCAAATATTTTAAAAAATGTTAAATGTGGTCGCACTAAAGCCACAATGTATTTACAATCTTTCAAAGATGAATTTTCTAAAACTATTTGTGAGCTTATCAAGGGCCAAAAATTTTCTATAATGATTGATGAGACAACAGTTATATCCACCAAAAAATGTTTAGCACTTGTAATCAGATTTGCTAATAAAAAAGCAAATTGTGTAAAAGATCATTTTCTCGATTTAATTGAAATTGAGCAGTGTACAGCTGAGGCAATTACCAATGAAATTTTTAATACATTAAAAAAATATCATTTGAATGCTGCAGATTTAATAGGTTTTGCTGCTGATAATGCAGCTGTCATGTCAGGTAATATTTCTGGGGTACAGGCACGATTACGACAACAAATTAATCCAAATCTTTTTGTAATTGGGTGTGTCTGTCATTCAATGGCTTTATGCTCATCTGCCGCAGCTTCAAAACTGCCCAAACAAATTGAAGATTTTACCCGAGACTTGTACTCATATTTTTGTCATAGTTCAAAACGTATGAGTGAACTACAAAACTTTCAAGAGTTTATTCAGCTTAAACCTAAGAAATTATTGCGCCCAAGTCAAACTAGATGGTTGTCATTAGAGCAGGTAGTAAATAGAGTACTAGTATTGTGGCCTACCTTAATTCCGTTTTTCACCTTAGCAGCTGTAGAAGACAATTTGCAAGCAGCAGCTACACTTTTAAATTCACTTCTAAATCCAATATATAAATTGTATTTCTTATTTTTATCTTATGTCTTATCTTTAGTTAACAAAATTAATTTAGAATTTCAATCCGAGTCGCCCCAATTGTTTGCACTAAATTACAAAATAAATTCCCTGTTTAAAACCATTACTAAAAACTTTATGAAGAAATCTTATGTAGATGAATTTAACACTTTAAGAGCTATTGACCCCTCAAATCAAGCTGAATATTTACCTCTAAATTCAATATATGTAGGAGCAAAGAGTCAACTTCATATTGACGAGAATACTCAAATTATCGATGAAAATTATTTAAATGATTTTCGCAAAAAGTGTCTTGATTATTATGTAGAATTAAGTCATCAAATAAAAAATCGTTTCACTAATCTAACTGAGAGTTATAAAAATTTTGAAGTTTTAAACCCTGTCCTTGTTCTGAGCGGAACAGAATCTATAATACCTCTTATCAACCAGTTTCAATTCATTACTGATTCTGAAAAATTTGAAGATATTAGTAATGAATTTCGAAGTATATCTGATTTACCAACTGAGATATGTGAAAAACTACAATTATTAGGATTTGAAAAATTTTGGTTCCAAATTATTAATTTAAAAAATGAGATTATTGAAATAATGTATCCTCACTTATCTCAGTTTATAAGTGATATATTGTGTTTTCCACATTCTAGCGCAACAGTAGAGAGGATATTTTCTCAGCTCAATTTAATTAAAACCAAAACCCGCAATACATTAGGTATTGAAAATTGTAGCTATTTATTACATTGCAAAGCTCTTTTGCATAAAGGAAATTGCATAACATGGTGTCCGTCACAATCTATGTTAAAAACCTGTATAAATTATTCTTCAACTTCTAAAAATGTATGATGAATGTTATCCTTTAACATTTTTTTTTTGTAAAGTATGAAAAATGTTTATTTTAGGAAATCTAATTTAATTACCCGAAGTTCCTATAAAAGTGATTTAGTTTAAGAATTTTATTTTGTTCCTTTACACTTAGTATGATATTAGCATTTATTTTGAGTGTTGTTTTTTATTTTTTTACTCATAAGCATTACTCTTTATTTTATTTAAATTTTATAATTTTTTTTGTTATATAGTTTTAACAAGTGTGAGAAAACACAAGAAAATTATTTTTATTTTGCTTTCGCTTTACCTATGTACCTGTTTGTTTCTATATGATAACATTTTTGTAAATGTTTCAATAAAAGCTTTTTTATAGGTTATTAATTTAAATTTCCCGCCCTTTTATGGTGTTTTTTGATTTATGTTTTAGTACGTTTTCATAAAATCTAGTACTTTTTTAACAACTGATTATTCAGTACGGTTTTTTGAGATTCAGTACGTTTTAAAAATTTTTTTAGTACGATTTGCCATTTTCATTCTGGCAGCCCTGTCCTATGGCTTTGACATGACATGACCTACCTCAAACCTTGTTTAGTGAAAGCCGCCAAATTTAAAAATATTACATATTTATATTACATTATAACAACAGATTAGGGCCATATATATATGCATTACCTTATAACGACAGATTAGGGCCAGATATATATAAATTATATTGTAACGACAGATTAGGGCCATATGCGGTTTGGCAACGCTGTATGGACTCAATGTGTCGGTAGCGTGCCTAAACATATATATAGCTCCTCCCACATTGAAATGGACTTGAAGGTAGCGGTTTAGGTATATATATATATATATATATATATATATATATATATATATATATATATATATATATATATATATATATATATATATATATATATATATATAAATAATAAGTACATTGCATCTTTTAAATTAATAAAGTCCATTAAATTGAAATGACACCGTCAAACTTTCAAAACAAACATACTTGTGTTCCAAACAGAAAATTTATAGAATAATTTATTTTTCCTACGACCACTTAGGAAAGTGACACATATCACACTAGATAGTCCTATGGAAAGTGATATCACACGCGTATGAATAATAATTTACTTTCCACCCGTGTACGAATATGCTACTTTCCGCAGTAGCTGTTACAAAATGTCAAACACATAATTTCTATTTTGATCTAGGTATGTAATGTCCATATTAATACTAAAATCGATATGATTGTTAAATTATTGAAATTGTTGTAAATTAGATTCTAGATATTTATCTTTAACAATTATTATTAAAATAATTTTAAAATAACTAAGATTATGTTTGCTCTTTATTCTGGTTAAATACATAACCGATTAGATCATTCAATTGACGTAAGGGCTATAAGCTTAGTTGGTTAGAACGTTGAACTTATCAACTTTGCCATTTGAGACCTGGCAAGCGACCGCGTCCAAATCCTGGCTAGGCCAGAATTTTTTTTGTTTTTTTTAAATTTTTTTATTAGTTTTTTTTGTTTAGATAATATGAAAATTGAATAAATACGATTATTGTTGATTATTTTTTTAAATACATTTTAATTATTATAGTAATAACCTGGTTTTACATTTTTTGAAGACATTATTTTGTGGTCGTAGGAAAAATATTGTACATCACTTGTGTGAAAAGTGATTTTCCACACTCGTGTGATAGTCGCACTCGGCTTGTGCCTCGTGCGACAATATTTCCCACTCGTGTGAAATATGTCACTTTCCACACTCGTAATGTAATATACTATACTTGATATTTTTCCCCGCACAACACCTCGCCTCTCGCCTAGGAACATGGTCAAATTGGGCTAAGCCATTTTACATTCGTCTGCATATGGAGCGATGTTGCAATTTTTCATTTTAGTGTCTATTCCGTCTGTTCAGATGGCAGCATCTTATGGGCCCTACATTTTTAAATCTTATCACAAGAATCCTAAAATAATTAGGCAAAAATAAAAGAATGTATTTTGCGTTTTAACTTTTAAATACTATAAAAAATGATGGAAAGTCCATAACTTTTAAATATTTGTTAAATATCACTTATTAAAATATTATTTATTAAAAGTAAAACAAACTATAGACTTTCCATCATTCTTTACAGTTTTTTGAACCCATTTATGAAAACAGTTTTTGAAAATATTATCGTTCAGAGCTGTATTTCTTGTGATAAAAAAGTCGCCGTCACTTGTCATTGACAACGCGTTGAACTTGCCCTTAAACGGTCTAATTTTCGCATGAGTTCAATTATTACCGCATTTAAATATTGAAAATTTATTTTAATTTGACAAAAGTAACATAAAAAACAGTGATTTATTGGTTTTGAAAAATATTTCTGATTTTAATAGGCTGCTATATATAATTAATCGTTTTTTCCGTTACACTGCCATTATCCCCAAATGAGGTGAACAATAAAATGGCTACACACCCATAAAGTTGCACCTCGAACCCAGTCCTATTGGCACAATATACAGTGTGTCTACTTAAGTTGGAACCATATGGAAACCATTTTTATTATTGATTTTAGGAAAAAAAGTTATTCTTGATAAAAAGTCCTGCATGACTCAAAACTTAAAATACAGTCATCAGATATCAAATTTTTCAAGCCGTATACGAGGTTTGTCAAAAAATATGAATTTTGCTCAAGAGTAAAGTACGTTTATTTTTTTACAAAATCGAAAATTTTCATTAAGAAATTTGCTAAATTCTTCACAAACATCAACAAAAGAAAAGCGTATCATGTTTATAGTAGCTAACGTAATTTATAACGTTTTCAGATATTTACAATCAATGTGTAGAGTGTAGAGTTTATAAAAAATAAGAAAATCTGTTTTTTCAGATAGATCGGTGTAATTGCATATTTGAATGTAATTCAATTCTAATCAACTTTTCTTAATGAAAATTTTCGATTTTGTCAAAAATAAACGTACTTTACTCTTGAGCAAAATTCATATTTTTTGACAAACCTCGTATACGGCTTGAAAAATTTGATGTGATGACTGTATTTTAGGTTTTGGGTCATGCAGGACTTTTTATCAAGAATAACTTTTTTTTTCTAAAATCAATAATAAAAATGTTTTCCATATGGTTCCAACTTAAGTAGACACACTGTATAAATGATACACAAAAAAACTACACACGGATCTGAATTAAATTCAAACAGGCACTTGCGCTCTGACATGCACACGTGTATTTTTGAAATATTTTTTGCGAATCACTCTCTTACATAAATAATTGACATTAAATTTGGATTGCCGAGATGTCTACTCTTATTTTATTTACACTTTGATTAACGTTAGAGGTTGTACTTGCAGTTGAAGTTTTAACTCGGTGAATGTATAGATACTGTAACGATTGTTTAATTTATTTATAGTTTATTTATTTAAAACACTTTATTTGTAATTTATTTATAACATACTAATTAATTTATATAATACGTAGACACTATTATAACTCACAAATCTAATTTATTTATTTATTTCATTTATTTTCTTACATTTTATTACCGTCATATTTAATTAATTTATTTTTAAAATGAATTTTCCGTATACAGGGAGTTTCATAAGTCCCGGACCGATTAGCCTCCTGTGCTATCGAACCGCAATTATTTCCCTATAGTTTTTCAACCTTTTTTCAATGGTAATAATTTATTTTTAAAATTAATTTTTCCGAATACAGGGAGCCATAAATATTTAACTAGTTTCCAATTGCAATAATTTATTTTTAATAAATTTTCCGAATACAGGGAGCCATTAATATTTAATTAGTTTTCAATTGTAATAATTTATTTTTAATAAATTTTCCGTATACAGGGAACCATAAATATTTAACTAGTTTTTTTTTCAATTTTTTTTTTTTTTTATTAAAATTAACGTGTCTCGACTGCTGAGGTCATTGACACAACTACAATTATTTACAGAGTGGTTTTACAATATTGTTTTCATAAAATTACTTTGATTTAAATTTTTTGTAAAAGTTGAACGTCTTTTAAAAAACTGAAAAGGCACTGGTATTCTGTAGGTTCCCCTAATATTTCTGCTAGTCTTGATTTCAGCTTGTTTCGTCTTCTTTGTTCGGAAAAGTGGTCACAGTCTATCAAAATATGTTTTACAGTCAAAACACTATCACAGTAGGTGCATATGGGTGCCTCACTGGTTGTCATCAAGTAGCTGTGAGTAAGTTTAGTGTGTCCAATTCGTAGTCTTCTTATTATGACTGCATTTGTTCTGGACAAAGAGGATAATCTGGGGGATGCAATAATGAGTTGTATGTTTCGTAACTGTGTGGTCTCCATATTCCAGTGTGTTTGCCAATTGTCATGAACTGTTTTTCTAAACACACTCTTGATATCTTTATATATGTGAATATCTTCAGCCGGTACGTCCAATGTGGAAGCTTCTTTGGCTGCACGGTCAGCTGCTTCGTTACCGCTAAGTCCAACGTGAGACGGGATCCAAATGATAGTGACGGACACTCCATTTGTCACGAGGTTGGAATAGGTGTCATGAATTGCGTTAACTAAGGGGTGTTCCGAGAAAGCATCTTTAATTGAGTGGATCGATGAAAGTGAGTCTGTACAGATTGCAGTACTACTATCATTGGATGTTAACATCCGGAATGCTTCTAATATGCCATATAGTTCCCCAGTGTGTACGCTACATGTGGAAGGAAGTTTAATGAACTTATTAATGTTAGTGGATGTGACAACAGAACTACCAACACCTGATTAATTTTTAGAGGAATCAGTGAAAAGAATTGTGTTGAAATTGTTTTTATGGATGATACTTAGGAATGTTTGTTGGATTATTTCACGTGGTGTCTCAGCCTTATTAAATATGCTTAATAAAGTGTTTATGTGTGGTAATTTTTTAGTCCATGGTGGAATTACAGAAACAGATAAAGGGGTAGTTCTGGAAAGATCAAAATTGCCCAGTAGGGCTTTGAGAATATTAGGTAGCGGTTGAGCTCTTC